ACCTGAGGATTCCTTTCCTCATTTGGTCTCTGCCACCTCTGCTGTTCAGCCCCATCAACTACAACTGGAATGAAGGACCCCACTATTTTCGGGGTTGGTATTGGCTGCTCCTTGTCGCCATTGGTGCTGCACTCACCACTCAAGTTGCACTCCCTCTTGACCACCCTGCATAGATTGTGAGTGGTCAAGTTCTTCGAATAAAGTACTGAGATCTGTCTTCTCACCATAGAAAGGCTCAGATTCTTGAAAGGTGACATCCATACTTACAAATGTGCGCCTTTCAGTATGACTCCAACACTTATAGCCTCGCTGCCCTGCAGGATATCCAACAAATATGCATTTTACAGCTCGTGGATCCAGCTTTCCCACTGCTTGTCTGTGATCTCTAACGAAGCAGGTGCACCCAAATAACTTCGGAGGAACTGAGAATTTGTTCTCCCCAAATAGCATCTCACATGGGGACTTCATACCAAGCATTTTTGAAGGCATCCGGTTGATCAGGAACGTTGCAGTCATGACAGCTTCACTCCACAAGAATTTTGGCACATTCATGGTGAACATAAGTGATCGAGCCACTTCTAAAATGTGTCGGTTTTTCCTTTCTGCAACACCATTCTGAGCAGGGGTATCTGGACATGATGTTTGCTGCATTATGCCTTGTGCTGACAGGAAACCTCCAAATTGCTTGTTTACATATTCAGTTCCATTGTTAGATCTGATCACCTGCACCTGCACATTGAATTGGTTTCGCACATAGGCATAAAACTCCTGAAAACATTGGAATACCTCAGCTTTATGTCGCATGAGGTACACCCAAGTCATGCGAGTGTGGCAGTCTATAAATGTCACAAAATATTTCATTCCACTAACAGAAACAACAGGACATGTCCACACATCAGAGTGAATCAGCATAAACGGGGATATACTCCTTAGCCCCTTACTCAAATATGAGATTCTTGTGTGCTTTGCATATTCACATGCATCACACACAAGCTTACTCTTGTCTACTCCACGCATTACATCAGGGAACATCTTACTCATCTTATCAAAAGCCATATGCCCCATGCGACAGTGATGGATCATCGCCATTGTCTCACTTACTCCAACTAGTACAGCCAAAATAGGACTAGCACCAGACCTAGACACATCACGATCCATATACCACAATCCACTACGCCTGGTTCCTGTCCCAAGTTTCCTTCCAGTCATCCTCTCCTGAATCAAACATATTTTCTTATCAAGAGTTATTCGGAAATCTATCTGATCAATCAAAGCACTTAGAGAAAGCAAGTTCACAGGAAAAGCTGGAACATGTAATACATCAGATAATTTAATAGTGGGTGTACATTGAACTGATCCAACTCCTTTAATCGGTTGTGAGGTGCCATCAGCAGTTTGTATTGTTTCACAATGTGTAATTGGGTACTGAGTATATGATTCAAACTCAGTTGAGGTACCCGCAACATGCTTGGATGCTCCAGAATCTAATATCCAATCTGGAAGGAAATCATGTGTGGATATAGATGCATTTGCAAAGTTACCTTCCCCTGTGTAGACAAAGTGGGCAAAGTTCCCGAAGGTGTTGTCCTCCTGGCTTCTACTCTTCGACTCCCCTTGAGAGGTTGTTGATGTCCCTTCTTCTTGCGTTGCCAAGTTAGCCAAGTTTGCTTTGAAGCCACTGGAATAATTCGAACCCCTCGAGTTACCTCTGCCTCTAACTCCCCGGTATCCACCTCGGCTGTAACCTCTTCCCCTACCACGTATTTCTCTGCGTTGTGCTGTGCAATTGATGCTTATGTGACCTTTCTCTCCACAGTTGAAGCATTCTCTTGTCTCCTTCCATTCAGACACAGTAAATGCTGAGCGAGATGCATTCGCTTCTCCAGTCCTGGTCAATTTCAACCTGACCTCCTCCTGTGCCATTGCTGCAACTGCCTCCTCAAGCGAGGGGAGCTTTGGCTGATGAAACAACCCAGCACGCCTTCCTTCAAATTCTGAGCTAAGTCCCTTCAAGAATTTCATCACTCTCCTACGCTCTACCCACTTCTTAGTAGCAACTATACATTCTGAATGTGGTAACTCCAGTGGATCATAGTGGTCTAAGTCAGCCCACAAATGCTGCAATTCTGCTACATACTCCATCACCGACTTATCCCCTTGTTTTAGCTCATTTACTCTATCCTCAATCTGCGCCATAAGCATTATGTTCCCTTTCCCGGAGTACAATGTTTCCAGGGTTTTCCATACCTCTGCTGCATGGGGAAGAGTCTCCACGGCTGCTGCAATGGATGGGGTCAAGGAGTTCAGCAGCCATGCCACCACCAGAGAGTCAATGACACTCCACTTCTTCCACTCTTCACTTGCCCTGTTCGCCGGTTCATCTACTTCCCCTCTGACATAGCCTTCCAGCCCCTTTGTCCTCAATATTAGCAATGCCCTTCTGGACCAACTTAGGTAGTTTGTGACCCCTTCCATCTTGATTTCATTTGGCATCAGTTCTATTTTCTGTATCACCTCAGGCTGAGGAACAAGCGCACCTGGGGAAGCCACACCCTCTGCCTTGACAGTGATGAGCTCAGCTAGCTTCTCCAACGCCTTTACCAACCCCTGGTTGTCCCCCATCTTTCCAATCTTGAATCACACCACTAGCAACCTCCAGCAACCACTGCTCCCCACTTTCACCTCTCTACTACCTCCTCCCCTTAGATCTGGGATTCCACCTCTCCTTCTTCCACACAAGCCTTCTCCTCTTAGACAATCGCCAACAAGCACAATCAGCCAACCACCATCACCACTGCTGGGATTGGGAACCCAAGCTCTGACACCATGTAGAATCAGGGGAGAGAGGGGTGGCGGCTGGGATAGAAAGATGGCCTGGTATTGTATTTTATTGGAGTTAGGGTTTCCTGTACAAGGGGGCAACACATATATAGGCTGCAGGCTTACATGGGCCACATGGGCCATAAGCGCGCGCACACACACACACACACACACACTGAAATACAGATATTCTCTACATGATACAGCTTATTTCGAGGTAAGTCTATATTTAGGTATCTCAAATATACCCAACAACATTTTAGTATGAAAATATGCTTTTACCTATCCTATAGAGAAGAATCATGCTAGGAACCAAATCATCCTTTTCTTAATAAGGAACTAAAGCAACTTTCCATGTGTTCTGTAAATTTCATCTTCAGATATTTTCATTGTGGGCTGTGAGCAGCCGAAAATACCGGGGGCTGAGTTTAACATCTCATGACGTTGGTACTGTTCTAGCTATCTCAGTTATGTAATGTTTCTTCAACTAATATAATATGATCGTTGCACAAGCAGCAAGAGAGACATAGTGAGCCCAAAATGAATGAAATCGACATAGGCACAACATTGCTCCTCTACGTATTACATGTAGCATTTGTGTTGAGTCCCTTTACCTTAAGGTTGTTTTGTTTGATATTGTAGGGTTTGGTGTTTTGGTGTATCAACTTGTGATTTACCCATTACTTGCCAACTATGTTGGGTTAATCAAGCCATTAGGGCATCTCCAGCCGTTCGGCCCCCCAGGGAGCGGCCTGGGGGCGTGCCGGCGCTAGTTCGGCCCCTGGGGGCGACCTAGCTCCCAGTCACGCCCCCACGCGCCGGCCCCAGGATGCGAGAAATTTAAACTTGGTCGTTCCCGCTCTCAAAAGACACCGCAAATCCGGCGATCGGACGTAGTCTGGCGTTACAAAAAACAGAGCGCCGCCGCCGCAAGTTCGCGTGCGCAATGATTCACTCGGCGGGATCGGCTCCAGGCGTTGGCGGAGTCGGCGTGCGCGGGCTCGTCGGTGTCGGAGCTGCTTCGGTGTTGGGCTGCGTCGGCGCGGCTTCGGCACTGCTGGGCGGCGATGTAGAGGCGTCGTTCGGGCTTGGCGTCCGTGTGGTCGTGGGCATCGTCGGCGTCGTCGGTGTTGCCGTCGGCAGCTCGTTCAGGATGAGGCCGCGCTGCACCAGGTACCACGCCTTGAGCTTCTCGTCGTTGCTCTGGAGCATGTCCGCCCCGCCCATCAGAAAAGCCATGTCGGTGTTCCTCTTCTTCGCGGCGACGTTCGTCCGGAGCAGGTCGAGCTTGATGGCGTTGTTCTTCATTAGCGACGACCACCGCGCCTCGGTCTTCTCTTCGCGTAGGACGACCCGGGCCTGGGCATCGGCGAGGCAATGCTCGATGGACTCCTGCACTCGCGCGGTTGCCGCGTCGGCGCTTTTCCCCTTCTTTGCCAATTTGTGGCCGTCCGGCCGCCCCTCTGACGCGCCATGAGGAAGACGCCGCCGCGCGCACCGCGTTGTCGCGGGCCTTCTTGGCTATGGCCCTCTTCCGCCTGTCGGCGGTGACTGCTTCACGCCGCTGAACTTCCACCCTCCACTCGGCATTCGACAGGCCCGGTGGCTTCGATGGCGGCGCCCTCGGCTTCCTCTGCTTCGGCTGGGCCACGGCGCCAGTCGCGGTTGCCACCGCGCGCGGCATGGCGTACTTCTTCGGCGGCATGGCGTACTTCTTCGCGGCGAGCGGGAGGGGGTTTGGCGGGAGAAAGGGAGAGAATGGCGGGAGGAAGGCAAGCGAGTGGGAGAGATGCGAGGGAAAAGCGTCAAGAAATGGCGGGAAAAGGCCCTCGGGTAGCCTCCAGGGCGGGCCCACGCGCCTTTTTCGCTTGTGCCGGCTCCCCAAGCGCCCCCCAGGGCGCCGGGTTCGGCCTGGGTCCGCCGGCACCAGTTTTGGCCCGAGCCGGCGAAAAACGGGCTTCTGGGGACGCGACTGGGGCCTTTTTTTGGCGCTGGCGCGGCAAAATCGCCTGGGGAGGGCCTGTTGGGGGCGCGGCTGGAGATGCCCTTACGCTCTGCGGTGGTATGTGAGAAGACCAATTGATGTCGACATACTCTTTAATACGGCGAATCTGTTGTATAGTACTAAATGTATGTATTTTCAGGTATTATCTGTACTTCTCCTTGCAACATATCCTTTAATGTCAAACCTATACGGCATGGAGCTCAAAGTACTCATCAACATAGCTTCGCTTTTGAAGAATATGTTTGCAGTAAGTCAATTTTTATGATTGAAACAAATTGCTAGCTTGCTATTATTATTTATAATTTGTTGAAAGTGAAATAATACAAATTATGGGTGTTACATGGGTGGGATCAAAAAACTATAGAGCCCATCTAGTGCAAATAAAATTCACACATCCCTGTTTACATTAGTAACCATCCTATAGAAACATGTTGACCATCAAAAGAATACCAGGCTGGAATAGTAATAAAATATTCCTTTAGAAAATACATTTGTGAGGATTTTTGGACGGTCTAGATCAACCATATTTGAGCACCACTCACACAAATGAAATAAATTTAATTGTTCAATACATTTGGAAAAAGCAAGCTCCGTTGACAATGATTTTAATATACAATTTAATTATGATCATATATTAATGTATCATCTACCTGCAAAAATAATAATTAATGTATCATCTGAAATGGAACAGGCCACGATTACTATTGCCTGCAACATTCTGCAGAACGCATCGGTGGTATGTATCATTCATCTCGTTTTATTTCGTTATGAGACACCTTTGCTACGTTCTAACTTATCTGACGAAAACATGTACATCCACAAGAACAAAGGGGTGTTGCAAATGGTATTTCAGTGACCCTGATGTCGATCTTTAAAGCAGTAGCTCCAGCAACAGCAGGAATTTTGTAAGTGCAGTGTTCTTTTTCGTGCAGGAATTGCTGATTTTTATTTCTTGGCTGAAACTGTGCTTACTATCCAGTTTGCTTATTTCTTGGCACTTTGCAGGTTCTCGTGGTCTCAGGAAAACATAACTGGGTTGTTCTTAGCAGGTAAACACATTGCTCATCCAACCCATGCTAATTACACTTATATTGATAGTTTTTAACTTGAATGGAAAGAGGTACATTATCAGAGCATATACTTATTTGATTTATTATTTGATATGCAGGTGATCTGATCATGTTCTTGATGCTAAACATGGTGTCAGTAATTGGGCTCTTGCTGACATTCAGGCCATTTTGCTCTATGCCTAGTGCGACCAGATAATGAACCCACGGTTATGCACATGTAGCTAGTGAAGTTAAATTAGAGACACTACCACAGATTTAATCCATGAATAAATAAATACACTGTGTGACTTCATGTATTTGTGTGATGAATATTTTTCATACTTTTAGGTTGTGTGATCAGTTGTGGTATGATATCTTTTTCTTTCAGTAATTTGGTTTATGTAACTTGCTTCTGGCAATACCATCAAGCATGTTTTCTAGATTATTGATCAGAAGAGTTGCATACGTACCATGAACTTGGTTACAATGAGTCCATATTTTTCGGTTCAAAATATGTATTGTGACTTGAACCTTGGCATCCACTGTATCAACAGAAACAAGAAGCTGCCTGATTTTAGTCAAGGGACCGTGTATTTTATTTTTGGTAGGAAAGGGATTGTGTGCCGCTCTTATGCGTACACCCCAATCCGCGACAGAGCTCTACAAGCGTAGCATCTCCGGCATCCTCTAGCGCTGCATTTCACCTGAGGAAGGCCGGTAGATCCTTGCAGAAATACACTCGGGGCTTGCAGAGAGCGTGCAGCTTCCCAAACTTTGATCAAACAAGGCTTAGCCACAATAGACATATAATAGTAAAGGATTTTTTACGGTACATCATACTACTTCTAGGACCAGATAGTACTGAATCATCTCAGCCGTTGACTAGCAGGGTAGTTTTGTCATTTTTGTTTGGTTAATTTGTAGAATCCTTCACCATGATCACCCTCGTTTGGCCTCGTCGTTGCCATCGCCAGTCATCGTCGGCGTCCGTTCATACAGTACAATCTGTCCACTGTCACCGCTGTTCGTCTGTCCTATCGGTTTTTTGTCCATCGGTGAAATTCATCGACGCTGTGTGCGCGTTGTTTGTGTACAGCCGTCGGCTGGCGTACGTAACTATCGTATACATATGCGTGATCGCCGGAAAGAAATCGGCTTGTCACGTTCGTAGTGCATCTGGCGTTCTGGACATAATCGATCGATCTGGAAGGCTAGCTTGTCTAGCTTTGTATCGGGATTTCCTCGGCGCACGAGGATCAAAGGACTACGTACAATCAGTCTCTTCGTTGCATCTTCTCTGAAAAGCACTCAACCGATCGAACCTGCGCCAACAGTCCCGGGATGAATGGACTGCATCCGGTTAGAGCGGGAGCAGAAAACACATACGCGCTTCTGATTTTGCCTGCATAATTTCAGATCATTTGGTATCTGTTTTGTGTGTTCCAATTTTACCCCTTAGACAACAAATACTACCGATCTCGCCCAGTAGTATTGATGGATCTACTAGTTCATTAACCGGCTGAGAATGGACGGTTAGTATTGTTTTGATGTACCGTAAAAGGTCTCACAACAAAATGCGAGATCGATGCGCGCGCAACAAGTTTTCATTTCATTTCGACCTCGATGGCGGGGTGCGCGGTCGCTTCCCCCACCTCCAGGCGTAATCCGTCTCGAGCAGGCCTTGCATCTCAGCGGCCGCATCGTCCGCGCGCATCTCCGCCGTTGTAGGCCCTGACCCGCCGCCGGCGCCAGTGACGGGGCCAGCCTTCCCCGCGCCACTAACCACCACGTGATGCAGTCCTCGTGCAGAGTTCAGGCCATCTTTGGGGTTGAGCACGGCGTCTGCATGACAACGGGACCAGCTCGGGTTGATCAGTCAACAAGCGGGACGAAGCAGATCTTGGACAAACAAACAAAATGGCATAGATCGAAGAACTCATAGACTCACCGTGGCGAGCGCAGGCGGCGGTGGGAAGGTAGAGTGAGAGCACCGAGGAGAAGAGCAAGGCGGACACAGCAAGGATAATAATGTTGAGACTAGCCATGTTGCAGCTCGTGGCCTCGTGGGTGAACTTCCTTTTGTGTATTATGATCTAGAGCATGCTGGTTGACAGCGAAGAAAGAAGTATGGGGGGCTGTGCTTTTTATAGCGAAGGCACCGCTCGCTAAGGCTGGTCACAATGGGCAAGAACATAAGCTAGTAACTTACACACTTCCCTAGACTATGTTACTACCTCCATAGTGGGTAGGAACATCTATGTAGTGTCATGCAACGATGTATTTATTAGGTTATAGACTCATTGTTTCTTGGAGTGTGTAATGTTCCGGTAACTTAGCTAGTTACCACAAACACCTCTCTCTTCATTAAATATGTGCCACATAAGCAAAGTTGTATTGGAGTGTGTGATGTTACTCCTAAGTTCCTCCCCATTGTGACCAGCCTAAGGGCATCTCCAAAACTGACCCACTAATGTTTTTATAGCGAGGGGCATGATACGAAAGAGAGTCATTCAATGTTAATCATAAAGTGTCTGATTAAGAGGAGAAAAAGTAGGTGAAGACACAAGGAGAGAGAAGAGCAAGGGACCATGCATCTGCGGTTGAGAGGAGAGAGAAAAGAGGGACCATGCATGTGATTAGTCAAGTGCATGTTCGGACTTCGGCAAAGCCACCACATTTGTCTCTTGGACACCGAAATTTGTACGTCGGCTGCTAATATACAGATTTTCGTTGCATGACAAAAATAGTTCAAACATTGTGGTCTAATGTGATTGCTAGCAGATGACAACTCTCTCTTTTTTTTACCCGAACATGTCAGTTGCCATATGTTTGGCATGGTACATGGCAAACTGCCCTAGCGTGTACGTAGGAAGATGGCAACTCTTTCTTTTTTAAATGGCAACTGCCCTAGCGTGCTTGTGAGCACATGGCAACTCTCTCTTTTACCCGAACATGTTTTTTGTCATGCCTTTTTTTGTAGCGCTACATGGCAACTGCCTAGTGTTAGCAGGTGGCAACTCCTAACGTTTTGAAATCATGGCAACTGCAGTAGACCAGACCACACATGGCAACAGCTGTAGTTGTCCAAAAAATGGCAATCTGGAACTTTGACCTGAGATGGCAACTGCAGTTGAGCAAACATGGCAACTGTAGTTGTCCGACATGGCAACCGTAGTTCAGCGACATGGCAACTGCAGTTGAGCAAACATGGCAACTGTAGTTGTCCGACATGACAATCGTAGTTCAGCGACATGGCAACTGCACTTAAACGAACATGGACGAGGGTCCGGCCCATGGCAACTGCGGGGCGCACGGTAAAGTGTCACGTGGGGCATGCGGGACCACGAGATACGAGGCCTGACGTACCGGGCGTGTGGGCGTTATCTATTTCTTCCACACGCACGCATGTAAGAGAGACCGGGAGGGAAAAAAGAGAGGCGTGTGGGCGCTAATTGTTTTGTCCACACACAGACGTGTGGGCTGGTCCTCTTAGGCACCACACAGAACGTGTAGGCAGATTCCTTAATGCCCACACATGTGGCAGTTAGCGGCGTCCTTACTTTTTCCAAAAAAAACTATTTTTAAAAACTTTCAATCTATTCATCAACTGTCAAGGTAGCATAAAATATATAAGAAGTAGATCAAAGCGTGTATGTTTATCTTAACATGTCGAGTCATCAGTGTTTATACCAGGCCTGACTTGCTAGAAATCGCATTAAAACGGTCCGAATCAGTTGTCGGTGTTTATTGAAAAAAACACCAAAAAGGGTAGATTTGTACTTCCTAAATGGAATGTGGTCGCAAAATCAGATCCGAGCTGAGAAAGTGGTGGTTTGTTTGTATTCACTCAACTATCACACTGGACCTTTAACTATACATGTATGCAGTATAAATGTGTAAGGGCATGTCCAATGCAGACCTTCAAACCATATGTATACATACGGATCGCGCGGTCAGGGCATGTTTTGTCATCCAACGTAGTCATGTATCCGTTCGCTGGCCGGTTTAGTCGTTCTTTTTCCTGCAAACTGGGGATGAGGGCTTTGCAGGATCCAGACGGCTGCCACGCACGCCTTTGACAACCCTAGCCCACGTAAAATCCTCTCCCTCACATGTGCGCTTTCCTGCCTAAAGCGGTCACCGCTGCTCTAGACTGTCAGTGCCGCATTCGTGTTGGGCAGAGCGTGTGACCTCTCATTGAAGCCGGCATTAAAGTGACGCGTGGGCCGAGAGCGCCGCCCACTTTAGGCCTGCTACATGTGCCTTCTCTCTACATTCTAACTGGAGTGTCAGCCGGGAAACCTACTTCGGTGCCCCGAGCACCAGACGTGCGTCCGCATGCGGTGGTACTGTGCTCGGTTGACAAGAGTAAGTTCTTGTTGTTCCTCTTGTCTCAAATGCTTGTATGTAAGGGCATCTCGAACCCCGATCAATAAATTTCCTCCCGCATCAGCCCGCAGACAGGGAGTACCAGTCCGCGAACACGGAAGCAGGAGGCCGCCATCCA